CTGGGCCAATTGGCCATGACATGGCTGTATAGCGGTTCTCAGGAGGTTGTTAAAGCAATGTGGTCGTCAGTGAAGGTTTTATAATTTGGTTGTATCAACTGCTATAGAACTTCAATAAAACAAAAATTGTTGCTTGGGTGGGTACGAATTGGACTTTGTTGGCTTCGTGTCCTTGGAGTAATGAACCGACGCCAAATCCGGCCAAAACAGTACTGAGGCGTCGTGTTTGCGGATCATGGGTAACAGACGCTTGTTTGAACACTCACGCACTTAAACATCGGTTGTCATTGTCTCCGTTGTCACAAACGGTTTGGAAAGCATACCACACTCACAAATGGCTTGCCCATAGCATTTTTACAGATTTTTTTTTCGGAAAAAATCGACTTATCCGCGTCGTCAACACTTCGGTCATCACGAACGGTGTAGTACTGATCACTAGGAAGAGTTTTGTAATCAAATTTAACGTATGATTCAACGTCCATAATTTCGAAAACCGATTTTCCGCACAGCAAATGGTCGTATAAACCTTTTCGAAGTTTAACAATCTTTCTCTATCTAGCATACATGGATGAATGAACGGTTTGTTTTCCCACTAATCTGTTTCCCTATTGCTCGTACTCGTTCGATTTAAATGGTGTAGTAGTGTGCGCCGATTAAACGTCAAAAAGCTCTATAACTTCCGAGCAGGGTGGCCAAACCTACCGATTTATCGGTAGTCCTATCGATTTTCGATATGCCTACCGATTCACAGACAAAAGGTTAAAAACTACCGATTTTTCACTTTTCCTACCGAGAATCACAGATTTTTAGTAATCTTGAAAAATATTCATATTGATTTCGACTCGTTTAAAACAGAAGAACTGAAGGACAGCTACCCCCTCCGCTCATAGAGGTCCTTCTTCAGACGGCTACCGATAACTAACGATAAAAGTTTTGAGAAGCTACCGATAATGAAAAAAAAAAAAACTATCTGGCCACGCTGCTTCCGAGCCCTCGGTTTGACGGATGTGGCTGGTTTTTACCTTCGCTTTGGCATCTTCTGCTTCTTAAACGTCTTTAGACCCATTCTTGTCTAGGCCCGCTGGACGTTACTTTTCGAGGATCCCACTTTTCTAGCCACGTCTCGAACCGAAGCCCTTTTCTTGCGAGCGAAAGCTTGCACGATTTTCCGGTTCAGATTTTGGCCAATAGCGTTCAGTTTACCTCCAGATTTTTGCGTGTCCTGGAAAGTTGCTTCATCACCATACTTCCGAATCGCGTTTCGAACGGCTCCGATGCTTATACCTTCCAATTTCGCTAATTTACTCAGAGACATGTTGGAGTTTTAGCTGAAAGTCTCCTTAATAATGATATTTAAAAGAAAATGGGTATAGTACACCATTTGTGCACGATCTGTTTGCGCTTTTCCAGCGAAATGCTTCGCATTGTCACGGAAATGTAAAAAACCGCAACTTGCGATACGCGAAACTGTTGATCGAAATGTAAACAATGATTCAGCGTGATAATCAGCTGTTTAAACGGCATCTGAAACAAGCAGGGGTGTTCGAAAGTCGTGCTGAGACATTCTGGGATACCCTATATTCACTTATTCACCTTTATGTAAATCCGACCTGAATGATTCATTATTGTGTGCTAGATCAGAGCGAACAAATGTCAAAAAAATAAATGACAATCGCTGCACTACACGCTAATTTCAACGCGTTCAAGATGCATTTTACATCAAAGGTGCTACGAATTTTTCATCGGCGTGACATAAATTTATTCGGCGGCGTGGAAGATTTTACTTCGGCGGCGCGCCGGCTTAATTTCATCGGCGGCGTGGCGCGGCGGCGCACAGGTCTAGGTTTTTTGTTTAGATTTCCTCACAACAAGCACAATACGTTCTTTAACTAAAGCCATCATGAAACGCACTTTTTAAGTATTTAGCGTCTGAAATCAAATCGAAATGATGTTGTGATGTTTATGTATTTTATTACTCAAGTTGCATTCAAACGAGTTTGGCCGATGTTTAGAACTATTTTTCGGAAATGATGCATGATAGCATGATAGTGGCTTACCACCCATTGTAGCACGGAAACTAAGTCCGACAGCAGTGAGCTCTCTTCTTTGTTTGTCTTGATCAAGCTTAATAACCTCTGATCGTCCTCAACATGTCGCTGTATGTATTTTTTTTTCTTTTTTTTGCAATAGTCTTTGTTACACATTCTCTGTCTTATATTTTTTTCTTCCAGTGTTTATAACTTCCTTTTCCTTGATCTTCTTCCTCTGTCGATACACCATCTGAAATTTCGCTATCCTGATTCTTATAATTTGTCTTCCACTTTCTTTTTTAATTTTTCTTTGTCCTTAGCTAGTTCTTTCCATTCTTCTATATCAAGTTCTTCATATCTTTCAAAGTCCTTATTTAATGATTTCCTCGAAGTAAGGCTTGGTCTACCCTCTTTTTACCCTTCTTACAAAGAAGGGTATAGATATCACTTGAAAAACCGAGGCCCGGAGGGCCGAGTGTCATATACCATTCGACTCAGCTCGACGAGATCGGAACATGTCTGTGTGTGTGTGTGTGTATGTGTGTATGTGTGTGTGTATGTAACGAAATGAATGCGCTCACGTTTCTCAGCAACCGCTCAACCGATTTGGAGAAATGATAGGTCTTGGGGTCCCATTGAACGCTATTGAACGGTTTTGGAATCGGTGAAGCGGTTCCGGAGATATGGCCGGAATAAGATCCGGTGAATATGGGCCTTCACGCTGGATTTAACGGAAAACGTATCAAAACCATTATGCGACACATCAAATTACTACAGAATTAAAAAAAAAGATCAATGCAAGTCGTGTTAAGTGTTCCAGACCACATTGGACACACTTGGACATTTTTTTTTTTTTTTTCTTTGGTTTGTTTTTTTCCGTCGATCTTGTTTTCCGTGCTGAGCACCAATGCTACCGACGTGCCAGGAAGGCAGCTCCCACACCTGGACCCTACCTATCGACCCATCAACTCATGAACCGGGGACCAACGGCTTTACTTCCCATCCGAAGGAAGGCGTGATCAGAGATGTTATGCCTCAGAACATCCCGGCGGCGCCGACTGGGATTGAACCCAGGCCTGCTGGGGTGAGAGGTAATCACGCTTACCACTACACCACCGGCGCCGTTATACACTTGGACATGTTCTGGGTACCCCGGGGAAGTTTCTTAAATATGAATTGAATTAAAACCCATTAAATCACATTAAAATACGATGATAAGGTGATTGGTAGCCTCACCAAATAGACTACACCCGGATATATTCCGGGTATCCCCAGGCAGTGGCGTAGCGTCACTGGATGACACGGGGGTGGGGGGCTTGGTCACTGATAATGACAATAAAATAAATAAACTTGAATAAGTAAGAAGGGTCTGATCACACCATAGGTGGATAAATTCGGGTTTTTCTTGTTGAATTTGAATCTATACGCTGATTGCAGTGGATGATTCATCTCTCTTCTTCTGATTTGTCCAAAATAACTTATTCTGCCTACCCTAACTCGTCTATTTATTGTTTTCCTGCTAACATTTTTCTTGCATTAAATTTCATATAACTTGGTTTTTTAAAGCTATTAAAAATGTTCCTCATAATATTTTTTTCGTAGTTTGCTACCTTAGTTCCGTATAATAACGCTGGTGTGAAAACTGTATTATATATAAGCTTTTCTAATTCCCAACTCGGATGAAATCTTGTACAAAAATCTACTACTAATCTTGAAGTTTTCAAAGCGTTTATAGACCTATGCCTATTGGTTAATTTCCTGTATAGGGTTGCTATCAGACAAACTCCTAAATACTTAATATATTCACTAGTTTTAAAAGTAGTTCCATTAAGCATTAATTCGTTTGGCTGTATTGCTGTGCCCTTTGGGTATCTAACTAAAATTTGACTTTTCTCCCTATTGATTTTAAGACCTACTTTGGATAGCTCCTCTTCTAGGACTTTAATAATATTCTCTAACTCATTTATACTTCTTGCTATTATTAATATATCATCGGCAAATGCTAAAATTATCGGCAGTTTTAAGCAATCTATATCTATCAATTCTAATTCAGGAATATCCCCAACAAACAATCGTCTAGTGAAGAAACGACTTTTTGGCCATTTGCATAGCTACATGCTTAATAGTACTTGTACAATTTTTAATAATAACTTCTGTCAGGCTTTGTTCACACAAATCTGGAGAATTTATTCAACCATAACATTGAACTACTTTGGTGCTGTATAAGGTATATCGAGAAGCTTTTATTCGACTTATATGAGTTATAACAGAGTTTATACGCGATTTTTTTTTATTATTCAGCGTTTATTAGACATCACTGCTTTCTTAAAACAGTGATGCTCTGTATACGCTTGATTCTCATGTGAAGTAATGTTTAATTAGACATTATTTAAATTTTACGATTATTCAACTGTGGGAAAATTAACCCGAAAATAAGAGGGACGGGGACAGGGAAGGGTGTGTTTCTTTAGTGATTGTTCTCATTTTTTTCTGACGTGGCTCGTACCACACAGATATAAGAAAATTTATTAAATATTTATACATGTCGTTGCATGGGATTCGAACAATGTACCTTCCGATCACCAGCCGCTTGCCTTGTCATTTGAGCTATCCTAGAGCAGCTGTATGATTGATGATTTTTGTCTACGAAAATCAAGCGTGATCTTGGGCATTGGTTTGAATTGGTTTTTTGATATTTTCCCAACACTGTTCCTACGTCAAAATCGTTTAATTGTGTAAAGAATAATGTCCAAAAAATGCAAAATATTTTTATTAACTATCTCACGAGAAGCGGTACGACTGCGGAAGATCGTTTTTCATACGCATTAATGATGTTCGAGTCTATTTCTTTATTTATTTTTATTTTTATGTTATTAGTTGCTTTGGAATTGCGAATTAATCTTCATTCAAAAAAATAATAATAATGCGACAGCTATTGAACCATGATGTTTCCTTCCTCAAACATTTCAGAAATATCGGACAGTGAACCCACCCCGCAGAACGAAAACGTTGAGGATGATCCCAAAGGTCGCCCGGTTGGTATCCGAATCAAATCGTTGCGCAAGGTCTACTCCAACAAGAAGGTAGCCGTCGAAGCGTTGAGCTTCAACATGTTCGAAGGTCACATTACTGCGCTGTTGGGACACAATGGTGCAGGTAAAACGACGACCATGTCAATGCTCACGGGCATGAAACGACCGACGTCGGGAACGGCGGAAATTTGGGGCTACGATATACGATATGAAATGAAGAAAATCAGAAATTCATTGGGATATTGTCCTCAGCATAACATTCTATTCGATCGGCTAACGGTACGGGAACATCTGTACTTCTATGGCCGGTTGAAGGGTCTGTCGAAGATCCAGGTGCAGTACGAAATAGAAAAGTACATTAAAGCGTTGGAACTGGTGGATAAGACGAACGTTGGAGCTTCCAGTTTGTCCGGTGGTATGCAGCGGAAGCTGTGTGTTGGAATTGCTCTGTGTGCAGGATCGAAGGTAGTTCTTTGTGACGAACCGACTTCGGGAATGGATCCTGCTGCAAGGAGAGCACTGTGGGATTTACTTATCGCAGAGAAAAGTCGTCGCACGTTGATATTGTCGACGCATTTCATGGACGAAGCAGACATGTTGGGCGATAGAATTGCCATAATGGCTGATGGCAAGTTGAAGGCTGTTGGATCATCGTTTTTCCTGAAGAAGAAATTTGGCGTTGGTTATCGATTGATATGCGTTAAGGCGCCGGAATGTGATGTAGTAGCGGTAACAGAGTTACTTGGAAATTATATTACGGACATTACGGTGGAGTCGAGCATTGGATCGGAGTTGTCTTATTTACTACATGAGGAATTTTCGCACAGATTTCAACCGATGCTCGAAGAACTGGAGAATAACAGTGAACGTTTACACATTTTGGATTTTGGAATTTCCCTAACCACATTGGAAGAAGTTTTCATGAAAGTTGGCTCGGATTCAACACACCTCAGTGACGCTGTTAGTATGAACAGCTTGGCGACTACTTCTACAGATGTTGAATCGAACTCAAGCGTTGGTGAATATGAACTTTTGGAAGGGTTCAGCCTATTTATGTGTCAACTAAGAGCTCTGTTTTTGAAAAAAGTTTATCAAACTTATCGCAACTGGTTCCTACTGTTGATTCAAATTGGAATTCCTATATTGTTTGTATCGGTTACGATTGCCGTTGTACGAGCTTGGGTTGGATCACGTGACATGCCTGCTCGTATTCTATCCATCAGGTCTCACAATCCCTCAGTTACGCTCGTGCAAATCGATTTACCTGAACAGCGATCAGAAATTACACAATCGTAAGAAGTTCTTATTCTTATTCTCTCTTATTCAAACTGTATTTTGTCACGTTTTTTTTTTTGTAGGGTCCTGGATAACTATTTGCATCATCTTCGTTGGACTGAAGGACTTGTCATTAGTTTGATAAAGGAGTTTATCGTGCGTGTATTTTTGATACTCGCCGAAGAGAACCTGATTGTGGTTAACCGACTCTATATTATGGGTGCTAGTATACTCAATGACAACTACACGGCATGGTTCAACAATGAAGCTTTACATTCGCCAGCAATTTCGTTAGCTGCTATGCACAATGCATTGTTACGCACATTTGCCAACTCAACGACCTATCGGATCGATGTCACGAATCATCCACTCCCTTTCACGGACGAATCGAGAGTACGTTAGGGTTGTTTAAAATGAAGGTGTTTACATTTTTGAGTCATTTGTACATTTCAGATTCAAATGAGCAGAGCGCACAATAATCTGGGCTTCCAGTTGGCCTACAACACCGGTTTCGGTATGGCGTTCGTGTCCGGATTCTTCGTCATTTTCTACATTCGAGAACGTATAACCAAAGCCAAACTGCTTCAGTTTGTGAGCGGTGTGAATCGTTTTGCATATTGGTTTACCGGATTCATTTGGGATTACTTCATTTACACCATTGTGTGTTTGTTCATCATTGCAACCGTTGCCCTATTCCAGGAGCCCGGATTCAGCACCGGAGATGAAGTGTTTCGGCTATATGCAATCTTCTTGATTATCGGACTTCCAGCGCTTCCATTGACGTACATCACAACGCTCTATTACTCGGTACCGCCAGCAGCTTTCATCCGCGTCAGTGTGGCATTTATCGTTACCGGAACGGCGCTGTTCATATTTGTCTTTTTGCTGGGTACGGAAATGTTCCAATTGGACGATCTTGCTGAAACGTTGTCAACGGTATTTTTGATATTCCCTCACTTTGTACTTTGTGATGCGATCGTCAATTTGAGTCGGATGTCAATGACGAAAAACATGTGTGAAGCGCCACGACCCCCAGGAGTGACACCGTTGCCCATATGTGGAGAAGATCTGCATTACATGCAGTGGGATCGCCCAGGAATTGGTCGACATTTGTACTATAGCTTATTGATGACCGGAGTGTACTTTGGAATACTATTCTTGCTAGACTTCAAAGTTTTGAAGGTACTAGTTCAGAAAACCAGGGAATTATACTACAGAGGGCAATACAAGTTGGAAGTGAACCACAACGATTTGGATTCAGATGTTCGTGTGGAGAAGGAACGGGTTGAAACAATGACAGAGGAACAGAGAAAAGATACCAACTTGGTTGCTCACAATATAACAAAGTACTACAATCGCTTCTTGGCGGTAAATCAACTTAGTGTGGGGATTAATAGGTAAAATCACGCCATCTATTTTCATAGAATTTCTCGTTAATTCTTGATTGAATAATTACAGCTACGAATGCTTCGGTTTGTTGGGGGCCAATGGAGCGGGAAAAACTACTACGTTCAAAATGCTATCCGGTGATGAAACCATATCTTTCGGAAACGCTTGGATTAAGGGCAACAGTTTGAAGACAAATCTGAAGAAGGTTCATAAACACATCGGGTATTGCCCTCAGTTTGATGCACTGATAGAGGACCTGACGGGACGGGAAACATTGAAATTGTTCTCGCTATTGCGGGGAGTACCGAATGATACAATCCCACAGATATCGTTATTTCTAGCCAAAGAGTTTGGCTTCGTAAAACACATGGATAAGCAGGTAAAAGCCTACAGTGGAGGAAATAAGCGAAAGTTGAGCACGGCACTGGCCTTGTTGGGAAATCCATCGGTGATTTATTTGGACGAACCCACGTCGGGGATGGATCCTGGGGCGAAGAGAAATCTGTGGAATGGCGTCTGTCGCGTGCGGGACAGTGGAAAAACGATCGTTTTAACGTCTCACAGCATGGAGGAATGTGAGGCACTGTGCACACGGCTCTCCATTATGGTAAACGGAGAGTTCAAGTGCATTGGGTCGACGCAACACTTGAAGACCAAGTTTTCGCAAGGATTTGTGCTGATTATCAAAGCGAAGAAAGTGGAAGCGGTCGTTAAGGTCAGAGACGGCTCGGTGCCTGAGGTGACGGATTTGCAAAAAGTAAAGGACTTTGTAACGATAAATTTTACTGATGCCCATCTAAAGTAAGTGCAATTGGTCAGCGTTAATTTCAATCAAATAAAACTAAATCTATTCCGCCGACAGGGAAGAGTATCAGGACATGATCACTTATTACATCCGGTCGCAAAATATGAAGTGGTCCCAAATATTCGGCATAATGGAAAACTGTAAACGAACACTCAACGTGGAAGATTACTCGATCGGACAAACAAGCCTAGAGCAGGTGTTTCTCTCATTCACCAAGTTTCAGCGGGAAGAATAGAATGCGTTGATTGTGTTGCGCGGTCAGTGCAAAAAAGAATATTATTTACGTTCCAAAGATTATTTGTTTTAATACGGTTAGTCTAGATGTATTATTTATTTATTAAGAAAAAAATATTTATTTTTTCAAAAGTTATGTGTGAAATGTTTATTTCAAGCTGCCAAAAATTAGGAAACAGGTGAGTTACTTATTTTAAATAAAAGAATAAACTTCATGTTTATGAACCAAAGATGTTTTTTTGCAGTGTATCAGTGACGTTTGTTTTTTTCTGTGGAGTTTTTTTTTTCTATAATCAGTTACTGATCTAGTCAAAACTAGGCCCAGGATATGATTTCTACTTCCTCAGCGAGTTCACGTCCTCGTCAGTTCAGTTCGTCCTCATCGTTGAGTCGCAGTGCTGAACCTGACTATTGGCCACGAAAAGGTTTGCCAATGCACCTAAAAAATCGACTATAGCCGAATATATTTTATCTCAAATCGAGGGAAGACATTCCGTGCAAGCTCTACCACAAACCATACTAGTTCATGTTGGTCTTCGTCGAGTGGACCGTCTGTATGAACACATGCCAAGCTGCATTAAACGTTCAATTGGTTCAACTTGGTAAGTTTGTTCCATTATGTTCATTTTTATCGTTTCAAACCAGGTAGATCACCTTTTTGTGATGCGTTACTGGTATAGTCCTGACAACTTCACACTAGGGGAACAGGATTTTTCGGTATGAATTTGTATATTGTTTATTTCAATTCAAAGATATTTTTTATGTTCATAGAGTATATGTCTCGCGCAACACGAGAAAAGGGCCTATCATTGTCATCGATTTTCTCTTTCGCGAATAACCCGACTGCAAATGAATTTCCCATTCAGTGTGTTGATTTCAGGCGCAGGGTTTAATCCCAGTCGGCGCCGTCGGGATGTTCTGAGGCATAACATCTCTGATCACGCCGCGGAAGGGAAGTAAAGCAGTTGGTCCCCGGTTCATGAGTTGATGGGTCGATAGGTAGGGTCCAGGTGTGGGAGCTGCCTCCCTGGCGTCGGTAGCATTGGTACTCAGCACGGAAAACAAGATCGACGAAAAACAAATCAAGAAAAAATAATAAAGAATTTGTGCATGGAAGAGTTGTCACCTTTCGTGACCAAGGGCTCTCCCTACGAGAATTTGACATCCAAATTGGTCGAAGTAAAGATGTAGTGCAATTTTTTTTTTTATTGGCTGATAAATATGCCACAAAAACGAACCTGCTGACTTTCCACCGAACCGGCCGAGAGACAAGAGGGGAATCAAAAAACTTGCAGTCTACCAAATCTTCCGTCACGTGAAATCAAGGCTGAGATGAACCTCCGAGTTTCTGGTCGTCGTATGCGTCAGATATTGAGTGGAGATCGAAACGTTTCATACACTAAAAACCCGTTTTGCTTTCGCCGAAAAGCACCAGATTTGGGACGACGAATAATCAAATGTGGTTTTCTGTGATGAATAAATGTTTAATCTCCATGGGCCAGATGAATCTAGCAGTTGTTAGTATGACAAACGCCACGAGAAACCAAACACAGAAAAAATAAACGTTGGTTATGGTCTGGACTGGATTCAGTTTGACTGGAAAGATATATATATATATTCTTCATTTCAACGCGAATTAACTTGGAAATGTACTGCCAACTGCTGGAAGAAGTTCTTGTTCCATTTTCAGAGAATTTTATGAGTGTAAACATCATTTTCCAGCAGGATAATGCAGCTTTCCATGCATCTAACGCCACGAAACAGTTTTTAAAAGACCATGACATCCCTGTTGTCTAATTAGGTTCTGTTAGGTTCCACATTATGTTTGTTTCAAGACATTTTGCCTTCTACCATCACAGTTTAAACTCAATGCTAATAATCAATTCTCACTCACACAACATGGTATAACCATAGAGGTAACTTTAAGACCAGAAGGTCCCGAAGAAACGTGCTCAACTTTTTGGCTCAGCTCTGGTACTATCTTCGGTCCCAAGCTAATCGATGCACCCCTCGAAACATAGGAAAATCCACGAACCCCTCATTTTATCTGTCAAATTTTCATAGCGTATCAAAACAAACATAGTGTAGCACTGGAATATACACTAGAATGGGGTACGTTATTCGATTTGCTTGGGATCAATAGGCTAGTCAAGTAGTGAGCCAATTTAAAATCGTTAGATTCGAATGGATTTTTGGTATAACTCAGAGTTGATAATAGAAGAGTTACGCAGAGTGAAGCTTGCAACACTGATGTCGATCAATGGGCATTTATTTTTATTTTGGCAACCCTTGTTTTTGTTTACACTTCATTATGACTTCACCTGGGTTGAGAAAGTTTCCTCTAGTTTCGATAACAATACTTCCCACACAACAGAGGCAGTTTGCTCTACTACACGGATAGAAATTTCCTTATACTTTTTGGCAAATTTTTATTGCTGATTATTCATAAAATGTATAAGTCAACTAATAAGCAGACGCCTTGCAAAAAGTTAATGAAGATCATGTGTGAAATGAAATATATAAGCGGCCACACATACCTTTTATGCATTCTTATAGGACCTATGTGGTTTGTCTTATGGAATGTATAAGGCTGATGTTTTGGCAAAAATGTATAAGTGAAACACATGAATAAAATGATTGATTTTTGTTTCGTGTATGCTCGATAGGTAGACGGTTTGACAGTTCGATAGGTAGATTTTGGTTACAGTCTGCGTGACTCTTCTATTATCATCTCTGGTATAACTATTTTCCAGTCCTCATTATGATCTAGTTGTCAATGGAAAGTGTGTTTGCTCCCTTATGATATAATCTCATCAACATCAGCACAACATAATACAATATTTTCAATAAATACATACATAGAACTTTGTATTTGCGAATTCATTTTTCATTTAGTTCCAACGTGGATTGGATCTGCTGGATCTGCTAGTTTTCTGACAAATTTCAGTGAGCAAAATTTTGTTTTGAACATGGAAGAGTGTCCGTACTAGCTAAGAATTAATCATCTATGGCAGAAAGTTGTAAACAATGCATTAGGGATCCTGTGTATGGAATTAGTTCGATTCTAAATGTTTGGAGTTTGGAGATCTTTTAATTTTATAATTTGCCGGCGCCGGTGGTGTAGTGGTAAGCGTGACTGCTTTCTAACACCCCGATGGGTCTGGGTTCAATCCCAGCCGAGGTCGGTAGGATTTTTCTGAGGCATAAAAATATCTGGTCACGTCTTCCTTCGGAAGGGAAGTAAACCGTTGGTCCCGGCCCATGTGTGTTGAATGGGTGAGATATCCTACGCAGGTGTGGAAGCTGCCTTCCTGCACATTCGATTGCCGTCAATGGATGGCAATCGATGTCCGTCGGTGATTGGCACTAGATTGCGGAACAAAGACCGACGTTAAATAAAGGAAAGAAGAAGAAGAAGAAGAAGAAGGAGAAGAAGAAGAAGAAGAAGAAGAATTTTATAATCTAAGCTCTAAGGTCGAGCTTTTTCCCACCTTACTCTATCCTGGAAATGAGTTCTGTGGCCCGACAACTGTGCTGCCGAGAGCAATTCAAGCTGAACATTGCTTAAGGTCCTAAGTAACATTGATCGATTCTCTTCGTAGACTTTTTCTTTCGTTAATATCTGAGCACATAACCGTTTCTTGTTGTGTTTGTCGTATTAGATGCTAGATAAAAGCTGCTGAAAATACCTGGGAATGAGAATCTGTTAATGCTACTTAGGGCCTAATGCAATGATCAGCTTGAATTATTTGAATCTTTTCCATCATCTGATCATTCTGATTCTGATCATTCTGATTCTGATCCTGAGTCTGTTCAGTTGAAATAAATAGTTCTGTAGATCGTTCAGGCTAGTCATACGTTTATGGAAGCAGGCAGCTTCCATCCGGATGTAGCAGGAGGTAATGGGCACGAAAAAAATCCGGATACATTAAAAACGCTGCGATCCTGCACACGCTAAGGGTACGGCCAGGGTAGACGCGATTCGCGATGAGACGCGACCAATTCAAAAGAATCTTGCGTGAGTCGCATCGCGTGTCGCGTCTACTCTGGCTGCGGCCTAAGTCGGCGCCGGTGGTGTAGTGGTAAGCGTGACTGCTTTCTCACCCAAATGGGTCTTGGTTCAATCCCAGCCGAGGTCGGTGGAATTTTTCTGAGGCATACAAATCTCTGGTCACGTCTTCCTTCAGAAGGGAAGTAAAGCCGTTGGTCCCGGCCCATGTGTATTTGAATGTGTGCGATATCCTACGCAGGTGTGGAAGCGGTCTATCTGCTCCTGGCAGTTACCGATAAAATTCCTAGGCAGGAATTTTATACATGTTTGACTCATGACAAAAAGGGATCGTTCCAAATATCAGTAACATACACCCCGCCTTGAGGCGGATGCCTCAATTACATGGCAGCACCATCAGCCTATGTACAGGTCGTTGGTATGAAGTTTGGCCTCTCTGAAGCGTCACGTTGCGCACTACTCCGTTTCGATCCGGATGGACCGCAAGCTCCCAATATGCTGGTGGAGTATTATCATTCTTCACAAGCACCAAGTCTGCTACCTTCACGTTTTCCCCGATTTTCTGCCACTTATTCCTTGATTTTAGAGTCGACACGTATTCAGTCTTGAAACGGTCCCACAGGTCACTAATAGTTTTACACAAACGCTGATACTTGTCAAGACGGTTCTCGGGAATACAGCTGACATTGGGTTCAGGCACCAAGTTGATTGGCTGACCGATTATAAAGTGACCAGGGATCAAAGCTTCATAGGAATCCATTGATGGCGATAATGCACACAGTGGACGCGAGTTTAAGCATGCCTCTACTTGAGCCAGTATAGTCGCCATGTCTTCGTAGGTTACCGTTTGTTTCGCAAGCACGACCCTTAGATGTTTCTTCATGCTCTATGGGAGAGTGCATATTCCGCCCATGTGAGGGGCAGACGGTGTTATAAAACTCCACTTTATCCTATCACTCAAGTAACGATCAACTTCAGAATCAAAACTGGCTGACTGCAAAAGCTCCTTCAGTTGACGATCAGCACCGTCAAAATTTGTCCCATTGTCAGACCAAATTTGGCTAGGTAAGCCTCGTCGACTGCAGAAACGCT